TATGTACTGCGTCAAGTTTGAAACGCTTGACTTTACCAGTCGACCACATTATCCCACACTGCACTTAAAGATGCACACTGCACATAATGCCAGGGTTTGTTGCATCCATCAACCTCAAAGAGGTTTGCACTTTAGTTTGCCCAGAAGCCACCCTCATCAGCCGATGAATATTCTTTTACTCAGAAGATCAAATTCTTGTTCCAGTACTTGGCCTCAATATTCCAATCTACCAAGGGGCAAGAAAGTCCTCTAGCACAGAGATCAATAAATATGGATTTCAAGAAAATCCATCACTCTCTACGAACGAGGTAACCTGGGAAGGAGTGGAGCGGTCACGGATCGTGGTCTCTTTGAGACGGTGACTCATCCCAGCGTTTGACAGCAAGCGCTGGGCACCGATCCATAGAGCAAGAACCATCAGCGGGGTTTGGTTTTGGGGGGGAGATAACAGGGGAATATCGAGATATGAAATTTCAAGCCCAATGAGAAATGACGAGCAGATTCTGCTCGCAACAAGGGGGAGAGAAATCCGACACCTGGACCGGGGCATCTGCAATCGGAGCACAGAGGGGTTCGGTGCGGCAACCAGTCGCAGCAAAATTATCGCCGGGTCTGATGCCTGGAGGACACGCACCCAGAGGGTTCGGTAGGCAAGCCGTGGTGAATCTGCGTGGGCTGTTTGTTAGGAAAGCCCTGGTGTAGGGTATTAATTGTTAATCCTTGCAAACGCAGAAAGGGTCGGCAGTGCATTTGCGTAGGGATGGCTGTAAGTGGGCACCCTGAGGATATAATGGGTTTAATGACTGAACAGCGAGGCACCATGAAATTTCTATTGTTTAAAAGAACCCCCCCCCTGTAACTAAAATTGTGGAGGAAACATTTCCAGAGGATTTTTTTTTAAGACAGCTTATTCCTCTGTGTCTTGGGGGGGTGGCAATTGTTGATGTTACCAAGATGGCTTTCAGCAAGGATTTCCACCTGCGTTTGGTTTGCTTAAGTTGGATTACTTAAACCTCTCAGAATTCAGCTAAATCCAACCCTTGGTCGAATATGCTCTGAATGAATCCACTGCATTACAAATATCAGATTTCATGAGGTTTGATGTCCTGTGAACCATCCGTTACTACGTTGGATTCCTCTGTTGGTTTACCAAAGGCGGGTTTGTTGGTCCATTCTGTCCTAATAAATGCAACCCAGAAACAGTAGAAAGTGTGTTACATGTTTGGGGCCTGTGAGTAGAAGGATGCTCATGTCATTACATGTAGCAATAGTTGTGTGGCATAGAAATTAAATCAGTTTATTATATCTGCATACATTACATGTTGCGGTGCTGCAATGCAGGCATGTGCATGTACATTGTATATATCCACACGCTTATGTATGGCATTTGTATGCACCACTGACGGCAAGTAATTTCCAAGAAGTTCAATACAAGTGCCGACTGCCGACAAAGAGCTACTTCGGTAAGCCCGCAGCGCTTGCCCCAAAACGAAGCACGCCAGAGGTCGCTCGATGCCAGCACTAATGTGCGCGCGCTGGGTCGGCCTAATCATCGTGGCTGTATGCCGACCCAACCTGCACAGGCTGAGCACGCTCGCATGCTCTGTTATCAGAATGACCTTGCCCGTTTGAAATGACAAAACTGGCTCCCTGGTGCTGACACTTTCGAGGATTGTTGCCCATTCTGTCTGTTTTCTAATTAGCCCTGTGTTCTTTTTGTTGTTTTGTTTTCATTGTATAGTGTTTGATCAAGTCATGTACATGTAGCTTATACATGACTGTTAGCTGATATTACCTACCGGTACGTCCACATTTGCCTGGGAATTTTGTCTTAACAGTACGCTGAGAAAGGGGGTACAAACTTCAGTTATTCTTGGAAACTTTGACCATCTGCACTCACTTCTGCATTCATATCTGTAGCGGTGTCCTTATTTCTCCAAAAAATTAGGCCAGGTACAACCACGGGCAAGAACGCTTTACCCAGGTACAATGTACATTTGTATGATATGCTGGGAGAGGGTTGTTGAAGGCTCAGGGGTGTTGTGGCTTGTTTTGGCTACATTCATGATGGTGGTGACAATGTGATGGAAATAGCCCAGTCCTCCTGACCCCTGTGTCTGTCTCCAGGGTTGCTTGTCAAGGATAGGGTAGGCTTGGCAGCCAATCACAGGGCCGGGTCTGGCAAGCTGTTACCGTAGTTACATGTACATGTACATGTATTATCCACCATGTACATTGTTATGTGAAAGCGTGGCCTGCAAAACATTTATTTTACCACATGCTTGCAGGCCTGACCACTAGCTCAATTGAAATTGACAACTTAACCCCCCCCCATGTTCCCCAGAGCAAACAAAAAAATGTTGTCAGAAGGAAACAAGGCACATACACAAGAAGTTTTTTGAGTTGAAATGGATCATCTAGTGACCCCATGACCTGTGCATTTAAAATGCCTGCCATTTGCCAAAATATCACAGTATTCATTCCGGGTCTTGTCCCAGCTCAACCTCTATCATGGGGAATGACAGAAGGCTGGCGTAGACACAGTGACTGCTTGAAGTCGGACGAGCTCCATACGATTGGGCCCAGCACCGGTCCCACCACAGCGTGTCGCTAAAGACAGCAAAACGCATTTCACACGTACCACAGAAAGGATAACAGCCAGTTTTCATCCCCCCCTAACCAGTACCCTGCAAAGATTTGTATTGAAATCATTCAGCTAGCAATCCCCTGGAAGTTACCGTGAACGGATGCGTGTGTGTAATAGAAACGTTGGAAGGAATGCTTGTGTGATGTGTTATACTGTGCCCTCTGCCATAATATATTATGGAAGAGCCCATATACATGTACATGTGCCAGCAACAGACATTTACATGTGTGGTGTACTTGCACGTGTACACAATCAAAATACATGTATTTGTGTGCACTTCAAAAAGAGTAATTGTGCATGTAATGAGCCATTTGCCAGTTGAATTTGAATAAATCTGGTGCACGGAGTTATCTGACTGCACATAAACATAATGATTTGAATTCCCCAGACTAAAGTCACTGTTGCTATACCTGGTGATTCGAGGCAAGCTTTTGCATAATGACCACCATCTCTGGAATGGACTGGTTCCTTTGTACCCTTCTTATCCATTGAGAACAGTGTATTGTTGCAAGGCGTCTCTTATGTACATGTAACAAAGCAAAAGCTTGCCCCATATCACGAGGTATAGCAACCGTGGTTTTAGTAAGGAGAATTCAAGTTGTTATGTTCACTTGAATTTAAAGAACTCAGTGTACCAAATTTGGGTCAAAGTTAACTCGCAAAAGGCTTATTGTGCATGTATAGGTGGAGGTACTAATTTGCAGGGACATAATACGATGTTTGAGGCCTTTGAAGTCTGAAATGTGTTGTCTACATCAGGGGTGATTTTTGTCAGGATTTTTCCTGATTTGGGGATTTTTTGTCATCAGGAGTTTCCTAATTCCTGGATTTTTCAAACATTTTTTTAAATTCTGGAAAATTCTGAGCTTACCATCAAGGTGTTTTTACATATATTAAAAAATGACATTAAACTCAAGAAATGGGTATTTGAAGAGGTGCTTTTAGGCGAGCACAAATGTATAGCTACTGCTGTGGGGCCCCTTACAATGTCTGGGCAAGCTCAGGTGATTATTTCATGGATGTTTCGTTTTCCTTGAATACATCCTTGCTACATGCTTGTGCACTCGTATATCATTGAAGAGAGATGTTCCTTTGAACATCTGGAAGCCAATGCTCATCCCAATGGCCACGTCTGTAGTCGGTGATCACCTCATTGACATCAGCCGGCGTTACTCCACGGGGTATCGGGTATCTTCTTTATCACATTATCGGTTGGTCCAGGCTCAGAAGTTACGGGCGCAGGGCAGCATAGCCAAGACTGACATTTTAGAGTTTCTGAAAAAAGGGTTATGATCTTTTTTGTTTTTTCACGTAGGGTGCATCCCAGTTGTCAAATTTTTTAAGGTTTCGTTGTGAGCTTGTACATGAATGTATGCATTGATCAGTAACCTATTTGCTAATTGAGATCTGCCTTTGCTTAGCAACTTTGCCTGCCTGTCAGATTTTCCTCCCATATCCTGATTTGTTTTCTTTCAGTGGGTGGGCAGATTTTCATGATTAGGTGCAGGTGTCACCAGTGATTAATCCATGTCAGCTAGGACATCTGGCTTTTAAACTCAGCCCCCTTCCCCCCACATACATGTACATCACCACCAGAAATACGGCTGTAACCCAAAAAACAGTGGTTTTAGGTAGTGCCTAATATCTTGCACCTTAGAATATTGATAAAGACAAATACTTGTACTTTTAACTTTGAAACAAGAGTCCTACCTACTGAAATCTGAAAGAGTCCTAGCGAATTTTCCCTTGCTCACTCCACCATGGACTTACCAACTCAGAATCCAGCATTTGAGTGGTGTTGTAGTTTGTACCATCCAAGAGTTTTTGTGGTTGGAAAACTTACACGTAAAGTGCATTGGTGAAGAAAAGTTGTTAAATCATACATGTACTTATACATATTTGTACGGGTGATTACTTGAATGTGCCGATATTTGTACTTGTACATCTAGTACCAGAAGTAGGTTCTTGGCTGTTGTCGTAGTTGAGTACGTTAGGACTTCTTTCAAAAGTCCTTTTCATGAGACCAGTCACAAGTCCTTTCATAAGACTAGTCATAAGTCCTTTCATAAGACCAGTCACAAGTCCTTTCATGAGACCAGTCACAAGTCCTTTCATGAGACCAGTCACAAGTCCTTTCATGAGACCAGTCACAAGTCCTTTCATAAGACCAGTCACAAGTCCTTTCATGAGACCAGTCACAAGTCCTTTCATGAGACCAGTCACAAGTCCTTTCATGAGACCAGTCACAAGTCCTTTCATGAGACCAGTCACAAGTCCTTTCATAAGACCAGTCACAAGTCCTTCCCTAAGACAAGTAACTTTTAATTAGCTTTTGACTCGGTTCAAAATGACTTTGGATAGCTCGCCATGTGATGGACTTGCAGGGACTTATGATTGATTTAATGACAAGTTTGCAACACTGAAATTCTTTGCTGCACTGTGGGTTTGGGATTCAGAAATCTGATCCGCTGTATTAAATAGTTGGACCAGACCAGTCTATTTTGTAGTTCTCATGTCCAGGCCTTCATCCTGTGGTTCAGACTTCCGGACCCAAGTTCTCACGATTTTTTTTTCAGAATGGAAGCCACCAGTAGTGGGGAATCACAAAGGGCGCATTGTGGTGAATTGCACCCCAATATAGTCAGGGGGGGTTGATAGACAAGACACCATTTGGAAATGTCCTTGTCGGAGATTGATCTTCATATCACCTCCTTAGTGTACAGCAATGCAGGCATTATGTGCGGGGTCTGGTCTGGTTTATAAATTGTGCATTCCCCCCCCCCACTTGTCATTTTGACTTGACTTTTTTTACAATTGCCGGTAATCCTCCGTCATTGTCGAGGGAGTAGGCCGGTTCCTGTCAGTATCACTTCACCAGCTGCATGAGGAAACTGTGTGATTTAGCATGTATGTTAGGTGCATTTGGACAATACTCGGCTCAATGACTTAGAAAATCTTCCCCTAGGAAAAAAAATTAAGAAGTTGGTCTTGCAAAGTGAGCTTGGTTTTTTTACGGGAAAACTTCTGCATTTTAACTCAGTTGTTACAAGTTTAGAATGAGCTGTCTGTTCAATAAAAAGTGCCTTCTGAAATTGTCGGAAATGTGGCAAAGTTTTTTTCCCCCAGGTTCACAGATTTCAAACAGCTTCCTAAATTTCCCAAGTTTGTTTTGTCTCCCCCAAATCATCGGGGCATTTTCCAAAAATAAAAAATAAAACTGTGACAGGCACGTAAAAGGATAGGTGCAAGTCTGAAAATTTTCTGTCAGTGTGATCGCTCCGTCTGTTTGCCATTTCGTCTGGGGATGGAGATCATATTCACAACAGATTATTCACTGCCGTCTCAGTCTCACAGTTGGAACTGATCTCTTATCAGCTGAAGTCTGTTCCCACAGTTGTCAACATTCAAACTGTGTATGTACGGATGCTGGGGTACTGGGTCACACAGGGCAGGCTTGTGGCACAACTATTGTAACAGGCAATGGGAGATCACTTTACCATGCCTGATGCCCGCTCAAAGCGATGGACTAGTCAAATTTCCCGAGGCCGCCCAACCATCATCCATGCATGTTGCACTCACATCCAGGTTTGTGGGACAATCTACTGACTCCTTCCTTTCTGTGCATGCATTTGGAGCTTCAGTTTTGTTTTTTGTATTTGTTTGATCAGGATAGATGAATTTTCCTTGGCCTTATTCTGGTACTGCCACCAGACAGAGTCTTGATGTGAATTGGCGAGATTGAATGTCATTGAGGTATGAGCAATTGGGGATCTATTGCTCAAGAGTTTATTGAACAGTAGTCTTGACTATTGAGAAAAGATAAATGAGGACATCATGGCGAGCCAGGCAGCGTCTAAGAATGGGAAAGATGAGTCCTCTCAAGCCTTGACTCTTACCAATCCATGGGCCATCTGCCTTGCCCATGAGAAAACGGTCGAGAGAGACAACGACAAGGACAAAACAGTGAGTCCGGCCAAGGGCTCTCCGCTGAGGACTTGGTGCGGCAAGATGGGCCTCGTCAAACTTTTTCTCCGCAAGGCCCAGCCTTTTTATTACCTCGAGCTAGCCGGGGACTTGGTCAGCATGTCAGGTAGGTTTCATCTTACGGAGCAACAGGGACACCAAATTTTGTCTGTTTGTCAGTTTGCCTGGGTTTTTCGAGTCATGGTTCTGTCTGTCTGTCCTCTCAGATCAGTGTTTGTGTAGTTGTTTTGTCCCAGTTTCAACCTATAATTAAGCGATGACTGGTAATTTTTGTTGCTATTTCTATAAATTGTTGCAGGTCCGAGATTACTACTTCCAGCAGGCCAACAAAATGGCCACAGTAGTGTCGGCAATAGAAGCCTGGAGTTTTTCAAACAGGAACTCAGCATGAAGCAGTCTGGGGAGAGTGTTGAAAGGGGTTCCCCATCACCCCACACCAACAGGATTGACAGTGACCCCGCCGGGAGGGCCAGCGAAAATGGGTCGTTGGGGGCGGAGGACCGATGCCACCACCGGAGCCACCGGAACTACGAGCAGCTGCGAAGCGAGTGCAAGAAGGCTATCATGCAGCTGGAGAGCCTGAAGCGGCAGCACTCCGAGGTGATGGAGAAGTTCGAGCACGCCAACCGGGAGGCGGAATACTGCCGCAACCGGTACCGGTCCTCAGCCGAGACGGCAGAGCAGCTGCGGGCTGAGCTGCAGGCCAAGATGCAGGAGTGCGCCGAGCTGACGGCCGACTGGGAGCAGGCCAAGCGGGAGATCCTCGACCTGCGGCAGACCCACGAGAACGACCTGAAGGAGCTGTCAGAGCTGAGGATGCAGAACCGCGAGGTGATGAACCAACGGGGGTCATCGGAGGTCCTGAATAAGATGTACGACACCGCTTGGGATAAGTACGAGGGATTGAAGAGAGAGTATGAAGCTCTCAAACAGAGGAATGCTGATCTGACATCCAGGAACAGCATCTTGAACTTCAACACGGAGCGGATGGAGGATGATATTAAGAGACTTAAGGGGCAGTTGGAGACAGCTTATTCGGAGCGGGACAGGGCGTATACAGAGAGGAATGCACTGAAGCAACAGTGCACCGCCGTCATCCGAAAGTACGACAACGTCTTGCGGGAGATGGATGACTCACTGCAGAGCACGAAGCTTGCCAACCAGAAATACGAGAAGGTGCAGCGGGAGCTGAACCACCTGAAGCACGTCAAGCACGAGATGGAGAAGAAGATCGAGCGTGTGACGGAGGAGCGTAATGCCGCGGTGCGCGAGTACACGCTGGTGATGAGCGAGCGTGATGACGTGCACAAGGAGATGGAGAAACTTCAGGAGGAAGCGCAGACCGAGAGCTCCTGCCGGAAGAACGTGGAGGAGAAATACCGGAACATCTTGGCCATCAACGAAGCCCTGAAAGGCAAGATGTATGTGATGAGCAAAGAACGTGACCATGCCTTGAGAGAGTACAATGAACTGAGCGATCGCTATCGCGACATCATCAGTAGTACAGCGCTGGCACAGAAGGAGCGCGATAAAGCACTGTTTGAGTTTGAGAAATTCAAGGAAGAGAGGGACGTCGCAAGGCGGGAGCGCACCGAGGCCCTGGACCAGCGCGACAAGCTCCTCCAGGAATGCTACAACGCTGTCCAGCAGCAGAAGTCCATCAGCTACGACTACGACCAGGCATTCAAGGAGGCCGAGGTCCTGCGGCGCAACCTGGACACAGCCGAGAAGGAGCTGAAGGAGGTGCAGTCGGAGACGGACGACGCCAAGCGCCAGCGCGACCGGGCCTTCCAGGAGCGGGTCAAGATCATGATGGAGCGGGAGAGTATCCGGACACTCTGCGACAAGCTCCGGCGGGAGCGCGACCGGGCTGTCAGCGACTTTGCCGAGGCGCTGAGGAATCTTGATGACGTCAAGAGACAGCGAAATGATGCCATGAAGCAGCTCAAAGAAATGAAGTAAGTAATTTCAAATTACTTGCAGTGTGAAAAGATTACCGGTGGCTCATGTACATGAAGCTCATAAATGTGCACTATGCATGTGAGTAATCCAGAAATTAGGCGTCCAATAGTGTGACAGCTTTGTGTTCCTGTTCTCTCTGACCTTTGTTATTTGACATGGAAATGTCACCGGCATTGATTTCAAACTATTAGGCTTTCTTTGACGGGTAATTTGCATTAATTTATCACTCTTGGAAATTAGAAAATGTGTTCTGAATTTGCAAAATCATGTCAGATGTGACAGGGACATGAAAAAAAAAATGGACTCCTAATTTCTGAAATTACCCACGTGCGTATATGTCTTTACCTTTTATGTCTTTGGTTTTCATGCAGATATCTGAAAATGAATGAAGCAGTTCTAGATTTGGAATCTGAAAGCAGCAATTGCGCAGTCCTGTTATTTGAAATCCGAGACTTAATTTCAAATCCACTAATATTTACATCAGTATTTATGTCATTAATATTGAAAAGGAGGCCACACAGATTACAGTGAAATTTGTGTTGCAGGAGAGCGAATGGGACTTTTTTTTTTCCAGTTGCAAAATATTTGCATCATTTGGCAGGGAGCAAATTGTGCAGATCCAGCCCAAAAAATTTTAAAAAAACAGGAGCAGATGCCGTGCCAAGTTAAATGAGCTGGTGACCTGGCAAAGTGTTGTGGATGGATGGCCAGGCTCCATTAGGCTGGAACACTTCCCAAGGGCATTGTAGGAAAAGAGAAATAAAGACGATTCCGTGTACGTGTATGTACATGTATAGTACGTGCTTGACAGATACTATGGAGAGATAAATTGTATCGTCTAGACAGTTCGGTGTCTTTTATATTTAGCGAGGCACTCCTGATTTGCATGTATCACTCCCGTGAGATTCGAAATGAGGTGTCACTGGTCAAGTGTGACCGTGTCGGTCCTGACAAGAATGCCTCATGGGCCAGTTTTCGAAAAATACTCTCAGCGTATGACTGAAGACCACCCCCCCCCAGTATGCATGCTGGCCGAGTTACAGGTTTGTGTTACAGAGTCATCAGTGGTGTCTGGTACCAGGAAACTGGCAACTCTTGCCCCCAGGTCTCTCCCAGCCTACAAGCAAGCACATTGACCCCATACTCAAGAATGTTCCCTCCAATAATTAAAGCACACAAAGATTGCTGTATGGATATTTCATTCACCTCTGTGCATGATTTCTTTTGGGAAACATCAAAATACATGTGTTTCATATAGAATGTTCATGTAGCTTTGAGTTGTTCATTTTTATTAACACTGCGTATATATTTGAAATTGGTTTGAAATATCCTTCCCAGCGTTGCAACTGTTCAAATTATTCAATGCGGTGTTTTGGTTTTTTTTGGCAAATCACTGGACATGCTGGAGGAGGCTTACATGAATTTCACAAGCGCTGTAAGTTGTTGACATGACACTCGCGTACGTGAAGCATGTTTCACCAACAAATGATAACTGCTAACAAGTTGCGAGTTAATGTATTGATCAGAAAAAATGTGGATTTTCTCAGACAGATATTGTAAATTTGTCTGAAAGAAAACAAAATTCAGAATTGTCCTGAAAAGTACCATTGACCCATTCAAATCATTTTAAAGTTCGTCAAAAAAAAAAATCAGTCGCTTTGAAATGGAGTGCATGTAGTCAGTTTTCCACAACCCTGAATCAATTTATTCTTAAACTATCTGGAGTGTAATTACTTCCACGGTTAAGGACAAGGGGAAATATGAAGAAAAAAGACCCATGACATGATGGAAACGTACCATGAAGTGGCCACAGTCCGTTTAACAGCCTCTGGCATATAAATGCCATTAAGAATGTACATGCCAGGGATGTACAGACTCACAATATCGAAATGGTTTTAATTTGAAATGTCAATTGCACGCTTGAGACAGTACATGCCCGGGCTTTGCTGGCCGTCACTCAGTTTCCAAGCGGAGTTTAGCCCAATTATCTTCGGTGACGATGTTGTGTAATCTTCTTAGCCTCCTTGAGGGCCTCGTCGCCGGCGGGAGAGAGGGGGAAATGAAAAAAAAAAATTGGTTATTGCCTGCTGTCGCATCAGATGGGTCTGGTTGATTCGGTCCCTAAAATGGATTTATCGGTGCTGCGGTAATTGATGGGGATTACGCTGCTGGGAATGTGAGTGTAATAAAGACTGACTGGGTTTTGCGTGAGTCTGGCATTTGAGACTTGGATGAGAAAATGGAACAGTAATGAACCCCACAAAAAACTATTACTGATCAGTTTGGAAGAAAAGAGGATTTCCCAGAAGGTTACAGGAGGCTGGCATCACAATTTGACGTGGAGTGTTCACGGTTCCTAGGATTTGGCTTTCTTGCTTATGTGAACTTGCTGTCGTTCGGACATTTCAGTTCTTAACGACACTGCATGTATATATGCACGTCGTGATTACCTGTAATGTTTAATGGTTAATGTGCCTTTATAAGGTTTTTAGAGTTCTGAAGGATAGGAGCAGAAATCTGTTACCTCACAAAAACCAATTTAAATTGATAATTGAAATACGCTCGCCATTCTCTACTCGAATAAAAAATTGGCAACAATTCAAGTTCCCCCCACCACATTGTGAATCGCTGGTATTCTCCACGTAGGTAACCCAATCCTACCAGTACATAATACAAGTAACGGTTTGCATTAGAAAGAGCAGACCGTGCTCATTGCTGTGATGTGTTACTCAGTTTGGCATCCTGCTTTAAAAGGAACATTATCCCTAACAGTCCTCAATCCTTCCTAACAGTCCTCAATCCTTCCTAACAGTCCTCAGTCCTTCACCTGTTGGAGGACTGAGGACAGTTAGGGTCAAGGAGGAGAAGAATGCTGCGAGTTCCTATTAATATGACTATTGCAAGATTCTTTCAAAGACCTTAAACTCCAGAGGGTCTGGCAACTCGTGATTCATTCCAGTTGGGGTTGGGTCATTTTTCTGTTCGAAACAGACAAACAGTTTCAAATTGGTTTTGATATAGTCTTCCAGCTGATGCGTCAACCATCAGTCAGTGGTCTTCTACAAGTGTCAATTTTTTTCCCCCATCAGGGAGAAAATGCAGAAGCAGACAGAGAAAGAGATGCACACGGGAATGAAGAAACTCATCACTCACCATAGCCGGGATTCAGCCATTGACGCAGACTCCCAGGAATGGGAAACGGAGACGGTTGCCATAGAAACCGAACGAGTGAGTAACTTTCCTGCACTTGTGCTCCCCTCGTTGCAAATGAAAACAGCACAACTCTAAGAAAAGGTGTTATCCCGCTGCCTTTCTGCAACCACTGTGTATACAGTGCTAGTGCAAGCTTTTTTGAGACTGTCAGTTGAAATCGTCACGAACAAAATGGCTGAATAGTTTTTTCTGTGCCGTTGGTGAGGATTTGTCTATTCTTAATGTAGAAATCTGACTTGCCCTGGATTTGAACCTGCGCCCTCCAGAATGCAAGTGCCGTGCTTCACCAAAAGAGCTTTCCAGCAAGGCAGTATGCTGATTTTCTTCCAATCGTCAACATCCTTATTCAGATGGCATTACTTTAAAATTGCCACTGGCAGTCTCTGATAACTCTGGAGATGATGCAGTATTCGGATCTTTTACTTCCTCCCTGAACTTTTTGTACTCGATTCCATTGTCGTTTTATCTTACCCCCAGGAGGATGGTGATGTCAGCGTGCTGGGTTTTGATTTTGGCGACAGCAAAGACCACACCCAGATCCCCGACGACTGCTCACTAATCATCACCAAGGTGGACAAGGGTAGCCTGGCAGACGGCAGACTCAAGTAAGTCCTCAGGATAGTCTGGTTCATTTAAAATGAGGACCTACAACGGTCTGTTGTCAGAGCAGGGCCTTGGAGCTGGCAGACTTGTGTCAGTCCTCAGAATAGTCTTGTTTGTGTAAAGTGATGATTTATGGTGGCCTGTTGTGAAAGGACAGCCTGGCAGGTGGCAGACTCATTTATGTCCTCAGAATTCTGATTCATTTGAAGGGAGGCCTGTGATTGTCTCTTGTGAAAAGGGCAGCCTGACTGGAATAGTGTTATTGCCCGAATAATTGGGCGTCTGAGAAAAGAGCAGATGTCAGAACACTTCGTGCAAGATTTTTACATGTCTCATTTTCTGAACTGCAGAGTCAACGATTACGTGCTGAGAGTGAACGACATTGACCTGACCAACGGCGACCGGACTGTGGCTCTACAGGCGGTCAAGAAAGCCAGGGGCGTGATCAACATGGTAAGTGGTGTAGACAATCTTGACAGTCCTAAAGTAATGATACTAGTTGAAAATGCCATTACATCAAGATCACGGCACCAACAGCAACAACAGCCAGTGGTAAACAGGTATAATTGCTGTATACTGTATATAAGTGTCTGACTCATAAACACAGAGTGAGGGGTTCGAATCCAGCCACCGGTTACATGTTGTGACCTCGGGCAAGTCAGTTTACATGTACTCCCACCTGCCTCTCTCCACCCAGGAGTATAAATAGGCACATGGGAGCGCAGCGGTGGCTGTTGTGTTTGATTAGCCACTTGAGCAGAGAAATGGCAGCTCCGAGCTGTATACTTTCAAGGGATCTGAGATGGTTTTTAGGAATGTTCATGGCTCAGTGAGCAGGGTTGATATTTGATATTTCGGTACCTTGACAGGTTCCTGGTTAAGTGCACTTTTTCAGATCATTATTATTTGTCGTCATTTGGTTTGTTTTGAGCTACTGTTAAATTAGGAAGCAGTGTTGGAGCACTTTCAATCAACACCTGGACCTTCCTTAAGTTTGGATTCGTAATTTGTGGGTAATAATGCATTTATGGCTGATTATTGATGCTGGTCTTGACGAGTTCTGTAGGAATCAGATCTAGGCTACGAAAATCACAAGAAATAATATGGATCCCAAACAGCCATTCCTTGTTCTCGGTAACTTTTTTATTACCTTCTGGAGTTGTACGTGTATGTCTATCCTTCAGTTTCTGGCCGTATTTGGGAATGGAACCCTCCCGATTTCATTTGGTCAATAGAGAACAGAGAAACTGTTGTACTATTTTACTAAAAGTTCTTAAAGTGTATTAAACAATTTTACAAAGTGAAATATAATTTTGACAAATTCTTTCAGTTGGCTACAATACCATCCCAGAAATTAGTTTTTTTGAAACTTCCCAAGATTTTGGTCTGAAGCTCAACCTGGTCTTGGGTTGATTGTTGATACTTTTTCTGGATTTCTCTGTTAAAAAAAAACCCCAGAAACAGCACAAGCTTATCTTGTTAATAATTGTTCTTATTAGGTTGTGAAAAGACGTCGTTCATCAGGAGCCAAGTTCTGTCCTGTGACCCTCTTTCTGACTAACAAAGATCACGGTGTCACCTTGGAGACGGGCATCTTTGTCAGCCGCATTGAGCCGGGCTCTGCTTCGGCCAAAGAGAGCGGCCTGATGGTCGGCGACCGCATGGTGTCAGTCAACGGAGAATCCGTGGTGAACAAGGACGCCCAAGAGGTGCAGCAGATGCTGGACACAGTGGGCGAAGCCATCACCCTCAATGTCATGCGAGTCTCATCCCCGTCTTCATCCTCAGGGCTGCCTTCCAACGCCAGCCCAACGGCGGAGTCGGTCAAGAGCCATGAGACACTGTCCTCCAAGTCCAGCCTGACACCCCTCGTCTCCCCCTGCGAGGACCCGGAGAGGAGCAGGAGTGGCCGGAACATCAGCGTCCAAACGGAGGCGTCGCAGTCTCAGGCTCCGCCCCCCATGTCACCCACGCTGCTGTTGCGTCACCACCCTGATCACTTCGAGGACAAGGTGATTCAGAATCCCCACTTCCAACCCGGGGATTACCCACCTCCATCATCCCGAGGACAGGGCATCGCCCTGCCGCCAACATCTCCCGACTGGCATGCGGTCAAGGAAGCATTGGTATATCCAAGCCAGAGACCTCACACAAGAAGTGAACCTGTTTGCAGACAGGATGTCAGTGCTTGGGACAGTAAACAGCAGCAGCCGCAGTGCAATCATGAAAATGCTTGGGCTTATCCGGCACAGCAACCACATCCGCAGCAGCAACAGCAGCATTCTCGCCAGAGCTCACAGGACTTTAACTCCCACGGGGACGACTCCCGAGACAGTGTCAGACACTCGAGGGAAGGATCCTTCGTGGGCTCCTCACACTCCAGACAGGGCTCATCTCACTCCCGACAGAGCTCGCGGGAGTCACCAGGGAGGCATTCTGGCTACCACACGTCCCACAGCAGTCGCGAGAGCTTCCGGGAGAACAAGCGACAGAACAGCCTTGAGTCTCGAGACCATGACAGTCACAATGCCGGGCACAATTTGCACAGTACCAAAGAAAATCCGTATCGGTCTCCTCCGCCGTCGAAACACGGGAGCCACAAGAAACAGGATTCCAAGGAGAACTTTCCGCTGCCCCAACCACAATCAGGCAGCCCTCCAGAATACAAGACGTCTCCAGCCATGAATTTGCCTCGAAGGGAACGCGACGGAAGCCCGAGGGTGGACCCGTACACGGAGCGTGGGGAGTTCTCTCGCGGGGCTGGCCATGCTGAGAAGACGGAAAACAGCACCTGGCCAAAATCTAGGGGACCGCCGGAGGTTTACTTGACCAACAGGAAGCGGCAGAAGCGTATCACGACCATTCCAATCATGAACCCGCCGTATGAGAACATACAAAGCGACAAGAAGGGAGATGGTGAGATGGTGCCCCCGAAGCCTCCCAGTCGCAACTCCTCGCTCAAAGCCTCCAGAGATCGTCGGCGGGAGATCGTAGAGAGGACCCAGAGGTCGTCATCATCATCCACAGGACCTGAGCACATGGGAGTACCTGAGACAGCCCCGCACGGGCAATCTGGTCAACAGCACCAGAGCTCAAGTTATGGGCAGATGCAGTTTAAGGACAGTGTCAACAAAAACAACAATCGGGACAGTCAGTCCTCGGCAGTGCATTACCAAGCAGGGTCATTGCCGGATACCAGCGTCGACTACACCGTCGTTAGCGCACAGCAGTCAGCTCCTGTGGCGACCCAGTTCCGGCCGATATCCACCCCGGCCATCCCTGGTGCCCAGGACCGCCCCTCGTCCGAATCTAAACGTGCAATACGCCGGCGCACCGCCCGGCCAAACCAGCTCGAGCTCTCCCCCTACTCACCTCAGACACCCCCACCCCACTCGGCGGGGGGCCGGCCCTCTTGGGAACCTCACCATTCCACCATGTCCCAGCACATCGAGTTCCGCTCCCAGCCAGCCGTGACCCACATGGTCCGCCTCCCCAACTCGGTGCCATACTTCAAGGTCCACAGTCAACCCTTGACCAATTCCAACAGACCAGGGCGCCCTGCCCACCCCCCAATCTACATGCCGTCGTACGCATCCTCGAACCACTCCATCTCCTCATCCTCTACCCACGACAGCGAGCGCTCTCCCTCGCGTGCCTCTCTCCCGCCCACCCCGCGGGGTTTCCAAGGAGATGACCGACGCAACTCCAACCAGAGCTTTGAGTTCGAGACTCACTCTGCCCACTCTGCGCCCCACGGCTACAACCCGAGGGAGGATGGATTTGGCACCTTTCCAAAGAAGAGCGAGAAGAGAATGTGGATGAACCAGAAATACCGTCTCAGCCCTGGACCTTGCCTGTCAACCAGCTCTGTTGAAAGAGGTAAGATGTATTGGGAATGGGCTTTATTCATGAGATGGCCATTTGAGATTGTCCTGAATCCTTTGCATACATTGAAAACTCTGAAATGGGAAGGAGCCTGACTATTTTGCTACAGCTACAGGTATAGCCTCACTTTGAAAACTATTTTTCACATGGGCTGTAAAGGTGACATGACTTTTTATCCATAATTTGGAACTATCCATTGGGTCAGAAGAATAGTAATCTATAACTCACTCCTATTACATCATCTTCGTCCTCTCTCACAGTTTGTTCATAGAAAGCCTTTAAGAGGGATCGCTTAACTTTTGATTCCAGATGACCAACCAGAGAATAAGGCCAATGTGTCGGTCCTTCAGTCTTTTGACCTTCAAGTCGCAGTCACAAGTTTGGCATTACCGAGAGGACCTCAACAAAGTTCCAAATTTTCAAGACACAAAGCGCTAGATTTTAGTAGAGTTGTACCGTAGACTTGGAGTCACTTGACTTGGACTTGAGTCGGACTCGAGTCACTGTTTCTGTGACATTTGACTTGTAACTATCAGGTTTTGCCTTATGACTTGTCTTGGATTGCAAAACTTTACTTGCTACCACCTCGGAATTTTAACATTCACGGATTGCCCACCCTCTCTCCAATCCCACGTAGGTTCCATCTCAAGTTCCGGGGGGAGGGATAACCAACTCCCTCTTAGTCTGCACAGCAGCCTGTCGGTCAGCTCGTCCGGTCGCAGTTCGGTCAGTTCCTTCTCGGAGCCAGACGTCATCGTTACCAGAGGGTGGGTCGCTTTTTTTTTTGTCTCAGAAAAAAAATGAAAGGGGAGATGTCCCGTTTTGCCAGGATGGATGTCCCAGTTGTTTAGAAGCATGCAGCATCTCAGATCAGCAGACTCCTTTGTGGTAAATTGAACAAAATGACACAAAGACTAGTGCAATGGAGAATTTATCCTCTTTCCGTTACTTTCAGTTCAGTGCATATCTGGGTAATCAGTTTGAACATTGTAACCTTCGGGCACATTATTTCCAAGTCAATTTTGCCAGAAATCTAGCAGGATTTTTCTTCCTGATTGTGTCATATTTCCTTGAAACCTGCAAGTTTTCAAGTATTCTTCCGTCTCGTCCCCCAGTTCCTCCACTCGTACCATCGAGATCGAGAAGAGTAACGAGCCCCTGGGGATCAGGATCATCCAAGGCAGTCGAGGGGGGATCTTCGTCCACACCGTTACCCCAGGCAGCCTGGCCGAGAGGGCGGAGCTACAGTACGGTGACCAAATCCTTGAGGTAACCCAAAAGATCAACTAGAGATGTTTATGACAATTTTCTAAGGCCGTTCTATATAAAAGGTTTACTCTTGTACACTTCGAATGAACATTCTTCGCAGC